GGAAACATTTGACTCCAAACCCGGAACGCCGATCACAGTGCAGCCGCAGGCAGTCACCGGTCAGGGAGGGGTCACCCAGGGCCTGGTGTCAGGTCTGGAGGAGGATCAGTACGGCCTGCCACTCGCCATCTTCACTAAGGTAACAGCAGCGATGAATACTAATGTTAAAAATCCTGTTTCCTTTGAAGTGGTGCAAACCTCAGACCTAAATCCGAGAGGACTTTTGCCGATTGCCGTCTTCTTGTGAGTCTTTTCTGAAGTTTTCTGCGTGACCCTGATTGCACCTGTTCCTGTTTCACCTGTTTGATTAGAAATGTCTTCTTCACAACTTTATAATTTATCAGTATTGGTTAATAATTAACCAGTGAAATCTCAGCCCAGACAGCTGGAGACGAGCAGGTGTACGGCTGTCATAAACACAGCGACCTTCGTCTTTTCTTGTTTCCAGGGTTACCTGTGCCTGCCCTACATGGCGCTGCAGCAGCATCACCTCCTGTCAGACGTGACGGTGCGAGGCTTTGTCGCCGGAGCAACCAACATCCTCTTCCGTCAGCAGAGGCACCTCAGTGACGCCATCGTCGAAGTAAGTCCCGTGTGTGTAAAACTGTGGTATTAACTTTTTAAAATGTAAGTATTTAATATTTTTTTTAATACTTCACTGCTTCAGGTGGAAGAAGCTCGTATCCAGATCCAAGACCCCGAGCTCAGAAAGATGGTGAGTCTGACCACTGCAGACCTGCGCTTCGCCGACTACTTGGTGAAACACGTGACGGAGAACCGCGACGATGTCTTCCTGGACGGGACGGGCTGGGAGGGTGGAGACGAGTGGATCAGAGCCCAGTTCACCCTCTACCTTCACTCCTTACTGTCTTCTGCATTACAGCAAGGTGAGACAATCAAAACTGTTCACAATAAATGTGTAAAATAAACACCTAGAGAGGCTCTTACAAGCAATCACACGCTTCCATAAAACACATCTGGGAGCTTGTACGCATTTAGAAATGGACGGGGTGTTTATATTAGGTTTAATGTCTTCAACTAAATCACAACAGACAGAATAATGTGTGAAAATGCCCCCGAAAGAGACAAGACGAGCGGGATAAATAAATCTGTCCTGCATTTCCAGCTGTTTCCACATCTGATAGTTGGTTTTAACTTCATTTCCAACTAGTACAACTTAAAAAATCCTGTTTAGATGCCTTACTAGTCAGGATTGGAGCTGCCATATTGCATGTAACTGATGTCTCTGTTTCCCATCTCTTCCTTTCAGATAGCGAGCGGCTGCTGGCAGATTACGGGGCACCTTTCATCACAGCGTGGAAGATCACCCACAACTACCGGGTGTGGTACAGCAACAAGCACCCCGGCATGACCGCCGTCACCCCAGGGTAGGTGGACAGGAGAGCGACTGACTTCTGTTACCTGCAGCTTTTGAATGTTTCTTATTTGTTTTTCATGATGCCATCTTCTCCGTTGTAGACATCCGTTCCAGGGTCAGTACAGCGTAGCCGACGTAAAGCTACGACTCTCGCAGTGAGTGCTGTTTCATGTTATCTTATTATTATTTTCTTTTTCTTCTAAAAATCAGGAGTTTGTATCTAGTTTTAATAGCAGATAAGATGCAGGGTGAAGCTTCACCCCATCGCTTGTTTTCTGCAGCTCAGAGCGTGTATGTTGCTGCCCTCTAGTGGTGGTTAGAAGAAGTCAAAGCTGCAGCAGCAGAGGGAGCAAGAGAGACAGA